CCTTGACCTAAGGAACCCAAAATAAGGAACGAGGCCCCTTTTCCCATAAGTTAAACTTCGATTTCCTATCGAAAACACAAGGAAAACCTGAGGCAAGCTGCGAAACACTTAAGGAACGCGGAGCCCCTCCCCAACGAAAAGGGTTCCTTCTTCAGGGCCCCGACTGTACACTGCTCCTGGGTCCAGGAACGGCCTGGCCAGGGGGCAGTGAACATGTATAGACCTCGTCGCCCAAATACGAGGCGCCCATGAGGTGCCCCCGAACCCTCGCGGTGCAGGTCGGCCGGACATCTCCGGGGAGGCGCCCGAGCAGCCAATCGCCTCCTCCTCCCCCTCCTCCTCCTCCTCCTCCTCCTCTCCTTCCTCCTCCTTCCCTCCTCTCCCCCCCTCCTCCCTTTCCTCCCCCTCCTCCTCCTCCTCCCCCCTCCTCCTCCTCCTCTCCTTCCCCTCCTCCTCCTCCTCCTCCTCCTCCTCCTCCCCCTCCTCCCCCTCCTCCTCCTCCTCCTCCTCCTCCTCCTCCTCCTCCGCCGCGCCGGGGCAATGCACCCGTGCGTCGGTGCCGGTCCCGCCCGCCGGCCTGGCCGCGGGCGGAAGCTCGCCGTGACCGTGGGCAGGATCTCCCGCAGCTCGACGTAGCTGGAGCCGGGCCGGTCCGTCGTGGGCACGGGGGTCACCAGGAAGCTGGAGATGCGGTCCTCGGGCCACACCCCGGGCTCGGGCTATAGGACGCCAGCTGTCGCTGTTGCCCGGGCGTGCCCGCGCCGAGGAGATCAGCGGAGCGAGGGGCCCAACCGTCTGCACGTGCGAGTGCCGCGTTGCAGGTAGCGCTTGCTGTGGAGTGCCCCATGGGGCCAAGAAGCGCGTGAGCCGGCGCCAGAGGCGCCAACGTACCGAGGAAAGGCGCCTACCGACGGGGCCGAAACGAGCTGCGCGCAGCAGATGTCGCACCCCCATACTCCAGATCTCGTAATAAAAGGGAGGGGTTCTGGACCCTCCAAGACAGGCCATTTCAGACCCCCCCTCGTGGGAGAACCCTCCAAAACGTCGTCCCCAGACCCCCCCCAGGCCCTCCAAGATAGCCTGGAAGAGACCCCCCCCCGAAACGAGACCCCCTCCCTTTTATTGCGAAATCTGGAGTACCTTTCCATGTGAGGCTGAAGGAACAGCGAAGGGGCTCTTCCAGCCACGGCAAGCCTCGGCCACGAACGGGTGCCCCCGACCAGCAGCTGAGGACGGGCCCGGAAACCGGAGCCCCAGGACCCCGAATGGGTCCATGCTTCAGTGACTTGCCTCGGAAGTGGCTGGGGGGCCTGCGCTGACGGAAGTGACTCGACTCGGAAGTGACTTGACTCGGAAGTGACTCGGAAGTGACTTGACTCGGAAGTGACTTGACTCGGAAGTGGCTGGTGGGCTCCGAGAAAGCCAGTCAAGAGGGAGAAGACGGCGGCAAATCCGCTCAAACTCTGATCCCTCCCCGAGTCGAAACTGACGGCTTTCTCCAGCAGCACCCAGCCGTGGCGACGAGGGGGCCCCTTTCTCCCCCCATTCCGATGGCCGGAACAAGTGCTGGGCCACCTCAGCCTCCCACAGCCAGCCCTGAGTGCAGGCTGTGTCTTCCCCCTGGATTTAGGTCGGGCATGCCCTCCTACAGGGGGATTTTAGAAGAAAGATGAAAATAGTCAAAAATACAAGCAAACAAAAAAAAAACGAAAACATCGAAAAATCGTCCCCTGACTATTTTTGACTAATTTTTGACTATCCCTCCTGTAGAGGGACCGGCCCGACTTAACCCTTCGTCCGGCCCGCCCTTCCCAGGCCAGGAGGAGGGAAAGGAGGAGGGGAAGAACAAATCTGGGGAGCTGCGTCCAGGAGGCCGAGATGGGCGAGAGAAGGAGGGGGAGCAGGGGGGGCAAGGAGGAGAAGCAGAGGAGGGGAAGCAGCGAGGAGGAGGAGGAGGAGGAAGAAGAAGAGGAGCGAAGAGGAGAGAAGGGGAACGAGGAAGAGCGAGGAGGAGGAGCAGGAGGAGGAAGAGGAGAGGAAGAAGAGAGCGAGGAGGAGGAGGGTAAGAAGGAGAAGGAGGAGGAGCGAGGAGAAGCGAAGAGCAGCGGAGAGAAGCAGGAGGGCAAGAGGATAACGAGGAGGAGGAGGAGCGAGGAGAAGCGAGGAGGAGCAGGAGGAGGGGAAGGAGGGGAAGTAGTAGGAGGAGGAGGAGGGGAAGTAGTAGGAGGAGGAAGGAGGAGGAGGAGGAGGAGGAGGAGGGGAGGAGGGGAAGGAGGGGAAGTAGTAGGAGGAGGAGGAAGGAAAGGAGCGAAGAGAAGGGTGATGAGGGGGAGCGAGGAAAAGCGAGGGGAAGAAGGCGCCCAGAGGTTGCAAGAGCGCCCCAGGCTGGCATCCAGGAAAAGCGCTAGAACGGGCCCCAGAAACCAGCACCGAGGAGGCACGCGCGGAGCGAAAAAGCCACACATCGTTGGAGATCTGGGGAGGAGGGGCGGGGTCGGCCGGGGGCGCTCGCTGTGCCCCGCCATGCTGGGAGGCCAGGCGCGCGAGCTCCTCCACCTCCTCCTGGGCCTCCTCCCTCCACTTCCTCCTCCTCCTCCTCCTCCTCCGCCTCCTCCTCCTCCTCCACCTCCTCCTCCTCCTCCCTCCTCCCTCCGCCCGCCTCCCTCCTCCCTCCCTTCCCTCCTCCCTCTCCCCATCCCTACCTCCCTCCTACCTCCTCCTCCTCCCTCTCCCTCTCCCTACTCCTCCGCCCTCTGCCCTCTCCTCACTCCACCTACATCCTCCATCCGCAAGCCTCCCGCCTCCCCCCGCCATCCTCCCTCCTCCTCCTCCTCCCTCTCTCCTGTCCTCGCCTCCTCCTCCTCCTCCTCCTCCTCTCCTCCTCCTCCTCCTCTCCTCCTCCTACTCCTCCTCCTTCCTCCTCCTCCTCCTCCTCCTCCTTCTCCGCCTCATCTCCTCCGTTCCCCCCTCCTCCTCCTCCTCCTCCTCCTCCCCCTCCTCCTCCTCCTCCGCCTCCTCCTCCTCCTCCCCCTCATCCTACTCCTACTGCTCCTGTTCCTGCTCCTCGCTTCCTGCTCTGCTCCCGATCCTGCTCCCGCTCCGCTCCTGCTCCTTTGCTTTTTGTCCTGCTCATGCTCTCATCCTCATCGCCCTCCTCCTCCTCCATCCTCCTCATCCTCCTCCTCCTCCTCCTCCTCCTCCTCTCCTTCCACCAGGCCAGTCCATGCTAGGGCTCTGATGGAGGGGCGCGCCGCGATTCATGTTGTTCCGCCCCCCA